TTGATATATATATATATATATATATATACAAGCATATTTTGATTGTTTATCTGATTGTGCAATAGAAAAGCATATCTTAAGTAAATCCAGAAGTCAGGAAGGTTATGCCTCATGTGAGATGTAGCTTATAAGTCCCTTTTGCATTCCGTTAGAATTAGGTTCGAGACACTACCTATTGGTAATCATCACCTTAGTTTTAGGATCCGAGACATTGGTTGATTCCAAATCACCCTATAAGCCCTCACCTTTCGGGCAATTCCTTCAACAAGTGTTGTTGGAATGAAAGCCCCAACTTTCTAATAAAAATATCAACCTAAATCAAAATTAGATTTCTAAAATGTAAAGCCCAACATATGATAGTCCGAGCACCTCTAAGATTTCTCAGAATCAAGTGTTCCTACTTTACCTCCTTTGGCTCTCATTCCAAAATCTAATTCTAAGTTGATCAATTCTTCCTTGAATCTCTTAAAGGCTAAAAGTAGAAAGGATACATGGAGTCTAACCAGAAAGGAGTACCATGGCCAAAGTAGTGATGCCTGCCTGAATGGCACAAACTTTCATTGTACCACATAGCGTAGTTTGCCTTCCATTCTATCAAAGAACCTCTTCTTAATTTGAAGCTTAGAAATGATCATCTTTGACTCCTGGCATCCTTTTTCCTCCCACTGGCCATCTCTCATAGAGAATGCCAAATAATGAGGCATTATGTGCATCGAACAAAACGAATTTTGGGAGGATTTCAAAAAAAAAAATCATTTGAAAATATTATGATGTAACTTCAGTGGTTGAGCCTTCTACTCCATATTTTATTCTAAAAATTAATGATTTGCTATGGTGAATGCAAATAATAATCAAAATGATCTAACACTTCACCATATAGAATTGAGAACTTCATTCCTCACTATGCCTCATCCAAACAACAACAAAAACCTTCATCCACGAATTCAAATAGCTTTAGGTCCTGACAACAATCAGACTTACTAATATGCACAGGTGATTCTTTGCTAGTTTGGAAGATGATTTTGTGATCAGCCACGAGGATATCTCATGAATGAAATACCTACTAAATACTCTAATTACCAACACTATGGTACGCCATGCCTCTTCATACCAGATAATTGGATATAACAATTCAATTTATTTGTGCACCAAATTTTTTTTATAAGTAATACAAGGAGTATGTTTTTTCAATTTACTATGAAAAATACTTTTTTTTGCCATAACATTTCAGGTTCACTAAGTAAATAAAGTTTAGTATTTGTTCAACAACAGCAACAATAAGCTTTTATCCCACTACATGAGGTCTGCTATATGAATTATTTTTATCCATTACATTCTATTTTGTTCATAAAACATAAAATTATTGCTCTTACTGACAAAGAACAACGCTTTAACAAAACTTCAGCTTAAAAGAAGCTATGTAATGTTGCATGTTCACATTACAAAGCCAAAAATAGAGCTCATGTAATCAATTTCTAGATCAAGTAGATTAAAAAAAAAATGAATAGGCACTTCGAGCAACAGTAGGTTGATATAAAGGGGATACATATCTGAATTAGTGGTAAGAGGAAGAAGAATTTTAAAAGAGACCTTGGATGTGGGAACAAGAGCCAGAGAAGTCGAAGCGGCCTCGTAGAGGAGAGTAGACTTGATGGAGGCCATTTGGACAGCGAGGGACTCGCGCGCCTCAGGCATATTGGAGTTTTCATTAGCAAGGTCAGGCATGCGATACTTGTAACCTTGCAATAGGACTCATTTATTCATAACAAATAACTGGATGAAACTCCCCTTTTACTTCATTGTATCCTCCGGTAATCACACTTTCCACCACTGATTTCTATTATTGAACTTGTTTGTAACGTGATAACCCCAGCGTAAATCAAATAACGAGAAGGCCAAGGAGGAAGAGATTGTGGCAATTCTAGTGTGTAGGAGATTATAGAATTTGATAGCACTCAGGTTGGAAAATAAATTGGGTCATGATATGTTTACCTAAATAGTATAAGAATACTCTCCAAATATTTGCATATGATCTTAATAAATTTAAATCACATTTATCCTTTACTTGTACGGTGGCTGAGTAATGAGCTTCTTTTTGGGTTCCATCTATCATAACCTAGACCAAATCAGTCCAAGTATTACATGAAAATGAACAAATTTACCACCCTTGCACACGACCAGCTAAACAAACTCCCCCTCCACATGAAATCGTTCTCCTTTGCACACAAAATCCATGCATTTCTCCTCTCCAATTTTCATAAAATTTGAGATTTCTCATATGCTCATGAGATTTTCCATTGCACGTCTTCCTGCACATCTCCGCCATGAGAGTAATTTAGGGAATTGAAATCTAGGGCATCATACTTTTTCTCCTTCTCGCTCTTGCAATAGTTGTCGAATATCTTCCTCTTCTTCCGCTTCGTCTCTTCCTCTCATAGCCACCGTCGATGAAGGTACTCGGCTTTCTATTCCTTCAACTAAAAGCCGACAATAGTAAATCCCCCTCTTCTTCTTCTTCTTCTTCTTCTTCTTCCTTAGTCAAGAGCCGCTAATGGAAAAAATCTTCTTTTATAGTTAAATAGAGAGATATCCACTGAATCTCCTCTACCACCCCATCATTACTTTCTCACGTTACTCTCTATCATAGTAGTTTATCATAGGTTCGTCTTTCTATGTATGTATGTATGTAGGATTACATTATAGCAAGAGATTGTCCCATATTAATGTAAATTCATTTGGCATATTTTTGCAGTAACTTATGTTAATTAGGTTACGCCTAATTCAACATTTTCATGCGTCATTGCAATTTACTAAAAATTTCATCATTTAGGAATTTCAGGTGAATATCATTCAGCATGCCTCTCTGGATTCTAGGAAAACGTAGGTTTGAGTGTCGCAACTCACTGTAACTAATTGTTATTTATTATGGGATATACTTACCCTTCTTTGTTAGGAGTGTTATGCTTATTACTCGTACTAGGTTCCTATATATTTTAGGTTGCATGTCTTCTGTTAAATTATCATTTGTTGATATATACATCTAGCATATCTTATTTATTGTTCATAATGAAATTAGCTTATGATAGAATCAACTTTATCTTCACTGATTGGTACACGAGCTCTTATTCATTTAATTCAATTCAAGTGGTAAAGAATTTAATTTTTTTATTTTTTTTTATTTTTTAATTCTTACACATACAATAAATAATATTTCTACAAATCATATCAGTTATATAATTCTAACTTGTCATATTCACTATATAATGCATGTGAAAACTTGCTTATCAAAAACATAGAAATTAAATGCATGTGTGCAATTGTGTTGGTCGATATAATTCTATTGGATGTTGGCTAACCGGGTCGATAGGCTCACAAAGTGATAACTTTATAGGAAATCATTAGAATTCTTTATGTTAGTGTTTACCTTCCCAATGTATGGTGTTTGACAAAACCAACTATGTGTGTGTGCAAATAGACATAAGCTAAAAAAGATGAATAACTAATAATTAACAATGAGATATAATGATACCTAACACTATTATATATATAAACATTTAATTGATATTACATTAGTGATTGCTTGACTTACGCATTATCTAATATCATCATACTATAATCTATTATAAAAACTATGAACTATCGCATTTCTACATTGATACATCAAGTATTTGTTATGATATAGTTCACTCCTATAATTTTTTGTTGTTCATAACGTATACCCCATCTCTTTTTCATTTAAAGTTAATAGATAGTAGCTACTTTCTAAGTTTGATTTCTCAATTCAATTGTTAATTTTTCTTACAGCAAGTCCTACCGGAGTGCTTGGTAGGCCATCAACATAGGAGTAGAACTACCAATATATATATATATACATATGTGTGTGTGTGGGTGGGTGTGTGTGTGTGTGGGTGTGTGGTTTATTAAATTTTGAAATAGGTCATTAGTATTTTTTTCTTTAGTTGTTTCTTTTAGTTCTCTTTTCGCATGTAATTGTTTATACTTAGTTATATATATATATATATATATATATATATATATATGTGGTTTCTTAAATTTTGATATATATGGTTTCTTATATTTTGAAATAGGTTGTTAGTATTTTTTCTTTAGTTGTTTCTTTCAGTTCTCTTTTCACATGTAATTGTTTCTACTTTGTTAATGTATTGTCATTTGTATTCATAATAATGAAATGAAACTTGTTTATCTTCCCTTGTTTACTATGATATATTCAGTTTATATTACTTGTATGTAAACTTTCTTTCTTATGAGCATAAAACATTTTTTTCTTATCCCCTCATCACGTCTTGTGATATCAATATGTACGCCTTATAGACCAAAGGTGTGATACCGATAGTTTTATTTCTCTCATGAACCATCACCAAAGAATGTGGTATTTCTTACATCAAACAAGAGGAATCTTTTGAGGAATTTCAAACATTTTCACTTAATAATGTTGTTGTTATAACTTTGTTAATCATATCTTCTACAACAAGTTTTATTTTGAAAATAATGGATTAATAATGGTGAATTGTTTGCATTCTAGGTAATAATCAAAATGATATAAAACTTAAATCACGTGATAATGAGAACTTCGTTTCTGGCTGCACCTATTTCATTCAACAACACAAACATTCATTCACGGATTCAAACAGCTTATAGATCCTGACAACAATTGAACTGGGTTATATGAACATGTCATTCTTTGTTAGGGAGAAAGGTAGCTTTGTGATCAGCCAAAGGGCTGTATCATAAAAGAAATGTTCACTAAATACCCTAATTACCAAAACTAAAGTGCATCTTGCCCATTTATATCAGAGAATTGGATTCACCATTTTAATTTATTTGTACACGTAATTCTATAGACAGGCAAAACACACAGAGTGCTTCTTTCAATCTTTTAAGAAAACTACTTTCCTTTCCAGTAGTATGGTCCTCAGATTACCAAAATTTGGTTTGAGATGATAATCTCCATTTACATTTTAGATTTACTATGCATAAACTGCATAAAACACAAAAGTATTCCACTCAAGACAGAAAAAGAGAAATATTTTAACATAAATATAACTTTTTAAAAAAGAGCTAGGTAGTATTTCATGTTCACATTTCAGAGAAAAACGGAGCTCGTGATTTCGAGATCAAGCAGTTTAAAAAAAAGCGATCAGACACGTATAGCTTCATTGGATCGATGCAAAGGGGATACATATCTTGGTCAGTGACCAGAAGAAGAAGAATTTTGGAATAGGCCATGGAGGTGCGAGGAGAGGAGTCCGGAGGAGTCCATGGCCGCCTGGCGGAGGAGGGAAGACTTGATGGAGGCCATCCGGACGGCGAGGGATTCGCGCTCTTCCCGCAGGTTGGAGTTCTCATCGGCAAGCTCGTTAATTCTGTACTTCTGCCCAAGCGATCGGAGGCTCAAGAAGAGTATATTAGTCATAACGAATAACTGGATGAAGCTCCCCTTCCGCTTCATCGCGTTATCTAGCAATCCCGGCGGCCGCCCATTTTTTCCGTTACCGAAGCTGGCTTTGTCATGATCGCCAATGGGTAAAGCAGACGAGGAGACGGGAGAGGGAGAAGAAGAGGTAGAGGGAAAGGTCGCCCCCATCTTTGCTCAGCTAGGGCTGCAACCGATCGCGGGAACAATTATTAGGAGAGTAGAGCCGGCACTAAATCCCGCCAAGTACCACGCACAAAATTATGTATTTGTTGATTTTGTTAACGAAAAATACTATTATATGAAGATAAATATCGAGCAACACATTGCTCAATATTATTCGGTATTGGTCTTCACAGAACTGTATTTCTCGTTATTGCCAAGCAATACCTAGCAATACCGAGCAAATACCGGGTAACTCAGTGGTGACCGTACGTAGAGTTACGTCCGGACACCGAACCTAATAATTGTTTTGATCTCGAAGCCCCGTATGTGCTTGTTCATTTTTGGGTTTGGTTTATTATTTGAATAACTTCCAATTGCTTGAAATTATTGGAGGTTTCTAGAGAGACAACGTTCAGATTTCTAGAGAGAAATTTCAGTTTTTTTCAAATTTTTCCTTTGCCTTTTTTTCAGCATTCGGCCGGTGATGGCGGTAGAAGATCCCGGCCATCTTTTGGTGGAGCTGTTGGGAATGATATTGTTCGTTTGAATGGAAGAATTGTTGGTCATTCGACGCGAGGCCAGTTCAGCGAAATTTCTTCTGGTTCGTACATCTTTGGAGATCATAACAGGGTCTTTAAAGAAAAACCTTTGGTAATTAATGATGTTCCTGCTTCATGTATTAAGAAAGATCTATCGACGGTGGGGAAAGGAAAAGGTGTTGTTTTAGATGTATTTTTTAAGAATGAGAAGTGATCTTATATCTTGAAGGGGAACAAGGATGATTTTGATGGTGGATTAGATCCTGGAGCTTCTTCTTCTTCCAGTATAAAGATTTTTGTTAATAGATTTGGGAATAGTAGTTCTAATGTTTTTCCAAATACTAAGGTGGTGTATGGTGAAGTTTCTGATTTAGTAGTTACGGTAGGTGGTGGGAATGGGAGCGATGTTGTTTTGAAGGGGCTGAAGATCGTATTCAAATTCAAGGTGTTATGTGTGACTGTGTTTTTTATCTACTTCGATAAGGCAATGTGAATCTGGTGACTTGAATTATGTGATCAAGCGATTTTCAAGTCTTTCTCCTTTAAAGAAACTTCCTGTTTATAATGATGTGCTTAAAGCTTGGGGTAGTAGATCCAATATCAGAATTTTGATCTCTGATGAAAATATTCCTTTCCATGTTATTAGCTTTGAATTGCGATGGTAGTGGTGTTAATTCAGACATTTTCAAATTAATTCTTCGGGATTAGAATGGGTTTTATACTTGTTCCAGTCGTCGTATGCTATGGATTCGGTGTTATCTGAAGGTCCTTGGTATGTGAATGGACATATCATTGGTATAGATAAATGGTCTCCTAGTTTTTCTCAATCTTCCTTGAAGGGTTTAACCACTCCGATTTGGATTAGGATGTCTCATCTCCCATTGCAATGTTGGGATTAGATTAATGTTAGCAGGATTGTTTCTAAGGTGGGGTTGCCTTATATGATTAATGGTAATATGTTTCAATGGAGGAGGAGGAATTTTACTAGAGTTTGTGTTCATATTAAGCTTGATTGCCAATTACCTTTTGATGTTTGGGTGGAAGGCTCTTCTTGAAGATTTTTTTAGAACATTGAATATGAATGTATTTCAAAATTTTGTTTTAATTATGGTAAGATTGGTCATCTATTGAATTCTTGTTTGGAGTGTGCGTTGGAGGTGAAGGTGGGTTCTAGTTCTAAAGTGTTGGAGATGCTGGTACTTTCTATAGTGTTGTGGATAGGAATAATTCTTTGGATAAGCCTAGTGTAGGTGCTGTATCTAATGCTGGTGGAAATAGTATGGGTGGAGAGTTGGATTTTAAATATGGTCTTTAGATTCATGTTGATTATGGGAAGGGTAGATTTTAAAAACACATCGAAGAGAAGGGGGTGTATAATTTGTTCAAATCTAATGTTGGTAAGGTTCTAGCTATCAAAATTATTAAACTTGGTGTTATCTCTACTGGTGTTGCTGGTGCTTTGGGTGTGAAGGGTTCTAATCTGGGTGAAGTGGCATCTATTCTTGACAAAGTTCCTGATATTCCTGGTGATTGATTTAATGCAGATACTAGGGAGGTTTCTTCTGTTCAAGTTGCTTCGATTATTGGTATGAATCCTTTTTATAATACTAATGTTATTCATTTTGATTTTAATAAATTTAATGTGTTAAATGAGATTAAAAATAAGGAGGAGGTTTTGTCAGAAGAAGGTGAAATTCTGAAAAAAAAATTATTAGATTCTAGTGTGATTGGGAATACAGATGAAGGGTCATGTAAGTCTCCTGAAGTGGATTTTAAGGAAAGTGGTTCTCCTTTTGTTAAGAAGAAGCTTTCAAAAGAATTGAACAAGTTAGGGCCAGTTATGGTGTTTCCTAGAAATAGGAATATTGATGATGGTGTGAAAGATAGAGGTGGGGAGGGGTCCCCTTTAAAAAATTAATGTTATCCATTACTTTTTGGAATTGTAGAGGAGCTAGAAAGAGACAATCTTCTCTATATTTAAGAGCATTTTTTAAGGATTATTATTTTTTTGTGCGGTTGTTGAAGTCTAAGTTAACTTCGGTTGATAGAGGTGAGTTAACTTTCCTATTGGAACTGATTGGGAATTTTTTTACGTTCATGCTGAAGGATTGTCGGGTGGGATTATCGTGCTTTAGAAATCTAATTTGACTTCTTTTTCGATTTTAGAAGCTTCTTATCAATTCGTCATTGGTGAGTTAAATGTTTTGAATAAAGGTGTGTGGATAATCTCTTCTGTTTATGGGAATAAGGAGGTTTATAAGTGAAGGGAGTTATCGAGTATAATTAAGTTTTTTTCTTCACAAGATAAGTCTTCAGTTATTGGGGGTGACTTCAAATGTGTTCAATCCAAGGATCATAAAAAGGGAGGGAAATTTTATTATTTCTCAAGGACCCTGGGAGATGAAAGCTTTTATGACTAGTAATGATTACCAAGAAGTGGGTTTTATTTGGCCTAAATTCAATTGGTGTAATAATAAGGATGGGGGAACTCGTATTCTGGAAAGATTGGATAGATGTCTGTTAAATTCTACTAGTTTGAATTCATCCCATTTATTGGAGGTTCGTCATCTTGTAAGAATTGCTTCTAATCATTGTCCTATTGTTCTTAACTTGTTGAAATCTAAAATTTCTTATAATAAGGTTGTTAGATTTGAAGACGTGTGGGCTTCTTATCCTGCTCCTTCGGCTGTGGTGGCTAAATCATGGATGAAAAAGATTATTGGGAGTCATGTTGAAATTATGAATACAAAGTTCAAAAGATCGTTGAAGGCTTTATGTTTTTGGAGTAAAGCAAAGCTTAATGACTTCTTCATATTGAAAGAGAGTTTAAAAAAATAAATTATGGAGTTGCAATTGGAAGAATCTAATTTATGAGGTCTTTCTAATGATAAGGTGATCTTGTTGAGATCTAAGGTGAATGAGCTGAATTGTACTTAGGCTCACATTAACACTTGGTGGAGGCAGTGTACTATGGTGAAATGGATGTCAAATGGAGATTCTAATTCAAAAATTTTTCTTTCTTTTGCTAATGCTAGGAAGAATGGGAATTGGATTCATCAAATTAAATACAAGAATGGTATTCTTGTTAAAGATCAAGAAGGCATTCAAGGAATTTTCTTTAATTTCTTCAAGTATAAATGGAAGGAGAGGGATTGCTTGCTGCTGTCCTGCTACATTGCAAATGATGGATGGATCAAATAGGTTGATGCTAGAAAAGGATGTTTCTAAAGATGAAGTCTTTGGAGTGGTGAAGCAGCTAAATTATAATAAATCTCCAGGTAATGATGGAATTACTTATTCTTTCATTAAGGCCTATTAGGTTATTATTAATGAAGGTGTTTGGAATGTTATTAACAACATTTTTATGTATGGGAAGATGAATGCTGATTGTAAGGATACTTTAATTGTGCTTATCCCTAAGGTTAATAATCCAATTTCTCCATGTAATTTTTGGCATATTAGTCTTTGTAAGACTATTTATAAGATTGTTGTTATAATTCTTTTAAATAAATTTAATGTTATCCTTCCAAAGTTGATCTCAGATGAACAAGCAGCTTTTGTGAAAGGGCGTTCTTTATCAAATCATATTCTAATTGCTTAGGAGTTGTTTCATATATTCAAATTTTCTAAATCTAGTAAAGATTTGGTATCTTTTAAAATTGACATGGAACAGGCATACGATAGATGGGGGGTCGACTTTAAAGAAAGTTTTAAGTCACTTTGGTTTTCCTCCTAAATTTTCTATGCTCATTATGGAATGTGTTGAAGATCCTAGATTTTCTATATTGGTGAATGGTATTTCATCCAATTGGATTAAAGCAAGAAGTGATTTAGGCAAGGATGCCCCTTGTCCCCTTTCCTATTTGTTTTATGTTCTCAATTATTATCAAATGTGTTTATTCATAAAGGAGGTAATATTGGAGTGAAAATTTGTCCAAATACCCCAAGGGTTTCACATCTATTATATACAGATGATATTTTTATTTTGTATGAAGCAAATGATAATATGGAAAAAGAAATAAAGAAAATTATTTTGGATTTTTGTATGTGGTCTGGCCAAAATATTAACTCTAATAAGTCCTCTATTATATTTTGGCAAATATGTTAGGAGGAGGAAGAAGAAGAGGATTTCTCGTATTATGGGCTTTAAAACAGTGAGAGAAATGAATTATTTGGGTGTGAGGATTACTTTGAGGAGATTGGTTGCTTTTGATTTTCAGAATATTATTGATAAAGCTTTGGGAAAATTTAATGCTTGGGGCAATAAATTCATATCTCTTAGTAGGAGATTTATTCTTATAAAATCTATTGTTTTCTCATTTTTGATCATTTTATCTACTCATTCTATTGTACCTAAGGGTGTTTTGAATGAATTAGATAAAATGTGCAAGAATTTTATTTGGCATAAGCAGAATGGTATGAAGGGTTTTCATTATGTTTCTTAGGATGTTTTGTGTAAGCCAATAAATTGTGGTGGACATGGTTTAAATTCTTGTATAAGCAAAGTGGGGCCTTTAAGAGCTAAATTGGCATGGAAGACAA